AAAATATCAAATAAATCTCAACTGAGGGTGTCTACAGATTACATGATCAATAATACTAAAAACTGTCAAGGTTATCAAAGACAAGGAAAGTCTGAGAAATTATCACAACCAAGAGGAGGCTAAAGAGAAATCACTACTAAATGGAATTTGATATCATAGATGAGAGCCTGAAACAAATAAAGGACATTAGGGATAAACTGAGGGAATCTGAATAAACTACAGACTTTAAATTAAACAATAGTGTATTAATATTGGTTCATTAAATATGACAAATATGTCATAGTAATGCAATTTCTCTATAATAGGGGAAATAAGTATGATAACATGGTAACTCTCCACATTATCTTTGTAAAAATTCTCTAAATCTAAAACTATCTAAATGTTTTTTAAAATTATTTTTTAAAAATAGTCAAATGTGATGAAAACTATAAACCTACATATCCGACAAGCTGCACATACTATAAACAAGGTATAATCACACATGTACATACAAAAAAACTTAATTTTTAAGAAACTGATAAAGAGAAAACCTTAAAAGCAGCAAGGAAAAAAAAAAAAGCTACATAGAGAGGAACAAAGATAAGAATGACAGCAGACTTCCTGTAAGAAATCATACAAGCTGGAAGAGAATGAAATAGCATCTTCAAAATGTTGCTGGAAAATTATTTTCAACCTCAAATTTCAGCAGTGTGAAACTCAACAATATAAATAACTGCTTGAAATGAAAATGGCCTACACACATTTTTATGCATGTAAATAAAGAAAAGAGCAAATCCTGACTGTGTAGTCTCTGAAAAATTTACCTTAAATATAAAGATAAAAATAGATTAAAAGGAAAAGCATAAAAATATGTATACTATGCAAACACCAATTAAAAAAAAGCTGATATGGCTATATTAATGTACATTTAATTAAAATACATTTCAGAAGAAGAAATATTACCTGAGATAAAGAGGATATTTCATAATGATAAAGGAGACAATTCATAAGAAAGACATAAAAGTCTTCCTTATGTATCAGGTAACAAAATTCCAGTATATATTAAGCAAAACCTGACAGGCAGGAAAAAAAAAAAAAAAAAAGATAAATCATAATGATAAAGGAGACAATTCATAAGAAAGACATAAAAGTCTTCCTTATGTATCAGGTAACAAAATTCCAGTATATATTAAGCAAAACCTGACAGGCAGGAAAAAAAAAAAAAAAAAGATAAACTCAAAATTATGATTAGAGGTTTCCGTAAATCATCTCAGTAGGGATGTAGAAAATATGAGTAAGTCAACTACCTGGACTTAATGACTATAAAACACTCTATGCCCAAACAGTAGAACATATATTCTTTAAAGGGCTCACGAACATTCAACAAGTTAGCCCATATGTTCAGAAATTAAATAAATCTAAATATATGTAAAAGTACTGAAATCATACAGATTTGTTCTCTGATCATAACAGAATTAGGAATCAATAACAGAGAGATAGCTAAAAACCTTCAAATATTTAGAAATTAAACAACATATATCTAAATATCCTAAGAGTCAAAATATAAATCATAATGAAAATTAGAGATTATTTTAGCCTGATAGAAATGAACACAAAAGAAGTAAAGATGAGCAATGAAAAGATTATCCTTTCTCTAGTGAATTACCTAAGCACCTAATCAGAAGACTCCACATTGTTAAGATATTTATTCCCTCAAATTGATCTGTATGGTTCAACACAATCCAAACCCAGCAGGTTTTCTGTATAGAAATTGACTAGCTCAATCTAAAATATTATATATTGAATTGCAAAGCAGCCAGAATAGCCAAAAGAATCTTTTAAAAAAAAACAGTTGTTAAGATTCACACTACTTGATTTGAAGATTGTGGCTGTTAGCTGCAGTCAAGTCAATGGAATGACTATGAAACTATAATAATGAGGACAGTGTGATGCTACTGTAGAGATAAGCATGTTGATCAATGGAACAAAGGAGAATCCAGAGATAAAACCCTACATAGACAGTCAATTGTTTCTAACAAAGTACCAAGGTAATTCACTGGCAAATATATGGTGCTAGAAAAACTGGACATACATATGCAGAGAATGAACTTTGAGTTTTATGTTGTACCAAGTACAAAATTTACTGTATTTTTACCCACATAACATGTGCCCTCTACATTTACTTGCCAGTGGGAGGGATTTTCACAAATCTCCTATGTCATTTTTTCTTTTTAATTTACCATAGTGCATTTACAAAAATATCACCTGGGATGGTGGGGGGCAGGGGAGAAGCGGTTGGCAAACAAAGTAGAATGTGTGTGTTATCTGTGTATAATACAGTATCTTAAAAGGGATCAGTGATCAAAATGTAAAACTTCTTTAAGAAAACTTACAATAAAATATTTATGATCCTGGTTGATGACATAAAAAGCACAAGTCATAAAAGAAAAACATGAAATAGACTTCATCAAAATGAAAAATTTCTGTTCTTTGAAAGAAAATGATAAGAGAATGCAGAAAAATCTGCAATACAAAATCTGACAAAGGACTTCTATACTTAAGATATAAAGATCTAATACAACTCAATAAGAAAATAACCCAATAGAAAAAATGGGCAAACATTTGAACAAGTACTTTACCAATGAAGATACATGGGTGGCAAATAAGCACATGAAAGATAATAAAAAATATCACTAGTCTTTAGTGATGACTGTTGTAAAATAAAACCACTAAATATGCCTACCTGGGAGCTCTGGTAGCGTAGCACCTAAGGTACTTGACTGCTAACCAGAAGGCTAGTGGTTCAAGTCCACCAGCCACTCCTTGGAAGGAAGATGGGGCAATCTACTTTCATAGTGATACCGCCTCAGAAACCCAAGGAGGGGTCACTATGAGTCAGGTCCAACTCAACACCATGTAACAACAACAGAACAAATATGCCTACACAGCTACTATAATGGCTAAATTACAAATTACTAATGATACCATGTATTGACAAGATGTGGAACAACTGGAATTATCACAAACTGCAAATGGAAATGTATAATGATACAATCATTCTGAAGAAAAGTTTGGCAACTTCTTTTAAAGTTAAACACACACTTAACCATATGACCCAGAAATTGCAGTCCTAGTTATTTATCCACAGGAAATAAAAATATATACCTACACAAAAGTCTGAACCTGAATGCATATATGAACTTTATTCATTATTGCCAACAACTTGAAGCAACTCGAACATCTATCAACAGGTGAACAAATTATAGTAGTATTCAGTACTACCTGGCAATAAAAAGGAACAAAATATGATGAATTTCAACACATATGAATCTCAAAAGCACTACACTAAGTGAAAGAATCCAGACACAAAAAGATTACATAATCTATAATACCATTTATATGCCATTTCTCAAAATGTAAAACTATAGGAGCAGAAATGAGTTCATATCACTGCCAGGGGTTAGGGATGGGAGAAGACTGACTGCAAAGGAGAATGAGAACATTTGGGAATGATGAAAATGTTCTATAACTTGACTATGTTGGCTGTTACAAGATGTACATGTGTCAAAACTCATCAAACTGTACATTTAAAAGGGTGAATTTTACTATTTGTAAATTATACCTCAATAGACAAGACCTTGGAAAAGCACACAGACTTTTTTAAAGGCTTTTAACATACATTGCCTAATTGCCTTTCCATTATCTTAATTTATTCTCCTATTTCCATTTAATTTACATTCCCACTGGCATTCTACAAGTGCCTGTACCTCCATCAGCTTCAATATTACCAGATTATTATTTTAGACTTCTCCAATTTGCTAAGTTTTTTTTTTTTAAATGGTGCCTTACTGATTAGAGATTTGCGTATCTTTTAGTTTCTAGTGAAGGTTAACTTTTTTCATAGTTTCTTCAACAGTAGTAGTTATTTTTCCCTGATGTCTATTAATTCATCATCATTTAAGAATGTGTGTTGTTTTCCTTATTAGCTTTTTAGAGTACTTTATATATAAAATATATCAGTTACAAATATTTATAATAAATGTTTCCAAGTTTCTCATTTATTTGGTTTTCATTATTTTTTAAGGTTTTTTTTTTTTTTTTTTTAAATATGTTGTTGTTGTTGTTGTTATGTGCCATCGAGTCGGTCCCGAGGTTTCCGAGGCAGTTATCACTATGGAAGTAGACTGCCCAACCTTCCTTCCGAGGAGTGGCTGGTGGGTTTGAATCACCAGCCTTCTGGTTAGCAGTCAAGTGCCTTAGGCACTACGCTACCAGAGCCCTTTTAATATATACACATCTTAAATTTTAAAATCTATTTTCTTTTGCTGTGCTTTTTACTTAGAAATTTCTTTTTCCAGTCAAACATAAGTTAAATATTCAACTATATCTCTTTTCTAATTCTTTTGTAGACTCTAGTTTGTAACACTTTAAACTTATCTGATACAATAGTTCTAAATTACAAGTGATTATTTAAATTTAAATTAATTAACATTAAATTGACATTCAGTTCCTCAGTAAGACTAGCTCTACTTCAGGTGCTAAATAGCCAGAAGTGGCTAGTGGCTACTACACTGAAAAGCCAAATAGAGCACATTTCCATCATCACAGACAGTTTTACTAGAAATGCTGATCTATTTCAAATTTAATTGGTGGTATAGTAGGAAAAGAGGAGCTAACATGACAGTTTTTAATTTCACCATCTGCATAATCCTTCCCTTCTTTCATTGGATTTTGATGGTTCCTTGTTTATCAATATTTGGTGAATTCAAATTCTGACTCAGCCACTTAACTATATGCCCATTAACAAATTATTTGACTCCTCTGACTCTCAATTTCTCATCTTAATTACTCATTAGTAAAGTGCAAGAATTAAATTAGATAAGCAAAGTAAGATGAATTATAACATTCATCATGTGAAGCCTCATCTGTAAACTCTTCTGGGTTACGGGTTTGTTATTGGAATGATTTAGTATGGCATATTGAAGACCCTACTGAAAGCAAAAACTTAATATTGTATTTACCCGATCTGGATTTTTGTAACCCAGAAGTAGATTTGCTGCTTTTATATCACCATGAATATATTCATTTTCATGTATATATTCCAATACATCCAACTGTGAAAAGAAATAAATAATACAAGGTTATACTACTATCTATTTAGAAGTTATCATCAACCTCAACATTTTGAATATAGAATAACAAATACATTTTTTTTCATATTAACAATGGCAAACTAATATATTTCACAATTACAGGTTAATTACCCTATGCTAAACTATCATCACCTCTATTGGTAGTTCATCCTGTAAAAATGTTGATAAAATGATACTCATTTATCAAATGTTTTCAATGAATCTGATAGGAGGAAACCTGAATTCAAAAATCCCTATGCTCTTGACAGCTCAATGGCTAAATCACACTGTATAACAAGGAGAAACACTTAAAAAAGTGAAATAATCATGCAGTTACTCAGCAATTCCTCATCCAAGCTAAAATTATCATATTTTTACACAAATAACACTTACCTTTCACGTTTGTTTGCCAACTGCTACGCCCACCCCAGAGGTAAAGGTATTTTCATAAGTGCAGTTATGACAATTTTTCTTTTACACATTGCTGTAAAAAAAAAAAAATTAGCATAGTCCTTTTATGAAAATAAATGGACAGCTCCCCCGCTGGAGGGGGAAGGAGCAGTTGGCAAACAAACATGGAAGGTGCTTGCTACCTGTGTAAAACTAAGGTACAAACTAAGTCCTGGGGACTCTACAACAATACTCTATGTCCATGAGAAGAGAAAAAAGCATTCTCCTTCTATACTGAAGTAGGTAACTCCTTAGTCTCATCTTTGAAGTATGACACATACAGATGGTGTTCAATAAGCATTTGCTGGGTAGACGGATGGATGAATGGATAAAGAGGTAAATTAACAAGTTCTATTTGCCATATCTCAACCTGACATCACTAGTTTCCCTCTACTTAAAAAGGAAAAAATAAAATGAGGTTTAGGAAAACCAAACACAAACAAGATAAGATGAATATATGGTATAAACAAAATGTGTGCATGGGTGCAATGAAGATTTCATTGCTTCTTATTTGGCAAAGTATATATATTATTCATTGCCACAACTAAGTACTTCCACCATCCCAAACTCATAATAAAAATTTTATGTGACATACCATCACATGCTCAGTATGGAAAATAATCTATTTTGCCACAATTTGCATTGTTATAAATATAACTGACAAAAGAGAGGTTATTCTTACAGCAAACTTGTTCTGATATGTAAAACAAATCTGTGAGAAAAAAAAATCAGACTGTAGAACCAATGCCTAATTGAATTTGTAGTGCCAAATAAGGCACATTCTGTCATTTACAGAGCTGTTACCAATTTTACCAAAATAGCCTTTACTTTCAAAAACTGACAATTTTAGGGTGATGATTCTTCACTTCTGATAATTACACAAAGGGCACAGATTTGTATATTTTAACAAATAAATAATCTGAAAGTGGACCATGTGAACTAAGCCATTCCATCTTACCATTCGGATACCCAGCTGCAGGACAGTTGACTTTTTAAAAGTGCCATTCTGGTCTGAGATCTTCTGTAAATCTATTCCTAGTCTCTCCATTACCATAAATCTGTAACTGTAAGAAAGAGGCATCAAAAAGATCTTCCTGTTAGAGAGATGCTTGAAACTACCAATTAATGAATCTGAAACAAGGAAAACTACTCTCAACCTAACAGGAAAGTATGTTGCAATCTGGACCTTTGGAGAACATATGCACCTTAATAATCTTGCTGTGCTTTTGCAGAAAGTTACTACTCAGTATTTACTTTGTAGTTATTGTTCTAATAGAAGAGACTGCTGTGCTCAATCATTCACACTATCTTAGATTATGAAAACAAAATAACCTTTTCAAAGTAGATAGTCTTGAATTCAGTACATTTTGACTCCATCACTTCTCACCAAATGACCTTGAAAAAATTATTTGTACAGTAGAAAATTTCATTTGTATTTGTTTTGTTTTTACCTTATAAAATCACTTTTGCTTTCTTTATACATTTACAAGCCTCTATTTTATATAAATGCATAAATGTCATCATGACACATGTTTTTTCCAACTGTACTTTTTTTTGTTTGGTGCCCTCTGCCCCTTTTATAATTCTCTTAACCTATATATCCACATCAGCCTCCATTCAATATTTATTTGTGTATACATACACATACAAACATACTTACACATGTAAGAGTTTTTGAGCCTTTGATTTATAAAACTGTGATCTTGTTATATGTACTTTTCTGCATCTTATTTTTTTTTAATAGTGCTTCACTGAAATTCTTTCAAGTCAATATGGCTCTAGCTGCTTTTTTTAATGGGCCATACAATATCACGTGGAGGTACCATAATATGGGAACTCTGGTGGCATAGTGCGTAAGGCATTTGACTGTTAACCAGAAGGTTGACGGTTCAAACCCACCAGCCACTCCTCAGAAGGAAGGTTGGGCAATCTACTCCTGTAGCAATAATGCCTTGGAAACCCAAGGAGGGGTCACTATGAATTGGATCTTACTCCACAGCAGTGAGCAGAGCAGAGAGTACCATAATATAAGCAGTCATTTACCTTCTCCATTAGTAGCCCTTTATTTTGTTTCAAAATTATTGTTGGTTCATTTGGGTTTTATTTATAGCTTTTAAAGATCAATTGAGCAAAATATTGACCTCTGAGTTTATTTTTTTAACCTATGAAATAAAAATAGTATTTCCCATTTAAAAGGCTATTTGAAAGGGCAAAATAAGATAATGTAAATGAAAATCCCTGCCACAAAATAAGTACCTATCAAATGAAGATTAAAAAAAAAAAAAATCATTACTTGTGAAGTATTTGTATGTGATGACTAGCCCACATTTGGTGGTTTTAAATTCTACAAATTCTTTGTTGCACTTCCCCTGAAGCTATGAAGCTTAATTAATCCACCTCTCTTGAGTTTGAGGTGAATTAGTGACTTGTTTCTAGAAAAGATAATATGGCAGAAGTGATGAAATATCACTTTCAGCATTAAGTTATAAAAATACTGTGGATTACATTGTGCATGTGTGCATTCTCTCTCTGTGTCACTCTCTAGTTCTCTCTCCCCTTTCTGAACTACCTACTCTAGGGAAAGCCATCTGCCATGTCATTATGACACTCAGGTAGCCTATGGATAAGCTCATATGGTAAAGGACAGAGGTCTCTCAGCAACTGCATAGTGAAGTTAGAAGACCTCCTGAAGTCTGCAAATAGTCACATGAGTACACTTAGAAGTGGGTCGTTTTCCAGCTGACTCTTAAAATGACTGCAGTTCAGATGAGAGCTTACAACATCCCTCTGAGAGATCCAGAGCCAGAACCACCCCAATTAGCCACTCTCAGATTCCTGACCTACAGACACTGTGAGATAGTACGTCTGTCTTAAGCCATTATGTTTTGAGTAATCTGTTACACAGTAATAATAAAGAATAGCTATAGGACAATATTTGGTTATAATAATTCCATTTTACCTTCTTCCCTTGAATGTAGTCAGACCAGATCCATAAAACAGAGGTATTCCTAAATAATCAAGTTGCTTGAGTGCTACCCACCTTTCGACTACAAAGACAAATTTGATACAAAAAAAAAAAAAAAAAGGTTTGCATTATTTAAAAAACCATTTCTTACTTTTACTTAGATGCTAAGATTTACTTAGTTAACCTAAACGATAATAAAATATTTCTAGGAATAAAAATCTACTCAATAGCTTCAAAGTCTTATTTATTATCACCAACTAACACAAAACATATTCAGCATTTTTTAATTAAATCAAATTACAACAAAAAAGTCAGTCTTATGAAATGCATTGTTATCATATACATAAATGTCTCTCTGTATGAAAAACACATTCATTAACTTGTATGCCAGCTAATTTCTAATGACAACATATGCTAACTGCAAAGGATCAGTACGTAGATGGCTTTTTCTTCCATGTCCCTTCAAAACCTAAAGCATTGGTAGCCTAAAAAATAGAAATCGAACAGAAAAATTATCTTACTCTGAAATCATACTATACTTTAGTTGTTTTGATTAAATCTAGCTTAAAATATCAAATCCACTTAAACAATCAACTAGCATATTTAATTTTATACTTTCTACTTTAAATGTTTAATGTTTAAACAGCTCTACTGATAAGCAATCAAGTTTAATGGATTCTATTTGTCACTCTGACATAGTTTAAGCAGTTAGTAAAGACAACAGTCTTAATGTTTAGAAGGTTTTATTAAGGAAAAAAAAGTTAATTATTGAGGCCAGACCAGACCATAATTCTTTTTCCTAAACATGATACAAAATATATCTACTATAATACAGGCATTATTCAAATCAATTTCTTTAAATTTTTACTTAGCCCATCTATATCACATAGTATCTATGATCTGTTTTTATACCTCTACATTTCTGCTCATATACATTTCATATTCAAATTCTCTAACTTGTAATTTCTTGCCTCTGATAAATAGCTCAAAGTAATTTTCCAATATTCAAGTTTCTAACATTATTAACTTATTTTCTTAAACATCTTAATATTTAATCATTTTTCTATACCTTAATCTATTCTAAAATCATTCCATTTGTTTATTTATCTATATACCATTTTCACTCATTTCTCTTACATCCTTCTTATCCAAAGGGGTTCTTATAAAATAAGTAATAGTTTCATTCTACTATCTTTCACACTTAGATAACTCTTCAAAGCTAAGATTAAGAGCCAAACATTTTATGTGAAGTAGTAGAAATAACTTTGACTTAAAATATATACTCCATCATGTATGCCATACCAAGATTTTTATGCCAGCTGTCTTGTTTTTAATATGTTATAGAAGTTAACTGTATCACTTTACAATAAAATTTCTTATTGAGAAGAATTTTCCAGAAGGCCAGAAAAAGACCAAAATATTAACACTCACTTTAGCAAGCATATATATGGAAGGAGCTTGGTTTACCAATTTTACTTACTATAGTATTTTTTTGCAGCTCTTTGATAAAATTTAAGTTCTGAAAATAATGGGCCATTTTCTTGATATTCCTATAAAAGAACAGAATAATTAATTTTACTAGGAAAGAAATAATCCTGAAGATGGAATTAATATTACAACTGTGAACGTATGAGTATATATATAATATAAAATAGTACTTGGGTAATATTTTATAAAACACAGTCCCCAGATTTTCACTAAAAATCTCAGAAAAGCACTAAATAAACATGAATAATCTTATTTTAAATATGATGTATGGTGACTACTACACTTATATGTCTTACTCAAGACAATCCCTTTGCTGTCAAGTTGATTCTGACTCACACAGATCCTACAAAACAGAGTAGAACTGGCAACAGTTCCCAAAGCTATAATCTTTATGGAAGCAGATTACCACATCTTTCTCCCAGAGGGGCTGGTATATTCAAACTGCTGACCTTATGGTTAGCAGCTGACTGCTTAACCACTGTGCCACCAGGGCTCCTCTTATACATATTATACCTGAAGAGAACTAGTCTTCTTATAGAAAGCATTTATTTAAAGCACTGAGAATTGTATGTATGGTACACACTGTAAACCAACACCTCTATCAAGGTAGATACATTACAAACTATGCTGGTTGTTTGCACATACCTAATATCTTTACTGAGTACTTTTATTGAGTGTCTGCTATATTTCATGAACTATATTGGGAACAGAAGATACCACAGAAATAATTCTATCTCTGCTTTTAAGGACCTAACCATCTACAGTTAAGATAGCTATGTAATAAATAGATGAATAGGTAGATAGATGAAAGATAAATGAGAGATTGTTGTTGTTGTTATATGCCGTTGAGTCGGACCCAACTCATAGCGACCCCTCCTTGGGTTTCTGAGGCGGTATCACTACAGAAGTAGATTGCACAACCTTCCTTCCGAGGAGTGGCTCGTGGGTTTGAACCACCAACCTTCTGGTTAGCAGTCAAGTGCCTTAGGCACTATGCTACCAGAGCTTCCCAGATAAGAGCAAGATGGAAATACAGAACTAAGATTCTCCAGCATTTATATTTTAATAATATGAAAAAAATATCATGCATTAAATTTATTGAGGAATAAATAATTATAAAACTTAAAGTGACAGGTGCTTTTTACAAAAATAAATAAAACAAAAGAAAAATGTCAAATATACGTGAAATACAAATTTAAAAGCAATACTTACCACTTTTATTACATATCTTGCATCTTCATCTGGTTTATTTGTGGGGAATGCTACAGAAAAAAAATATATATAGTGGGGGATAAAACAGTTGTTTCCAATTACTGACAACCTACTATATCCTAGACACTATGCTAAGTATTGGGAGCTCTGGTAGCGTAGTACCTAAGACACTTGACTACTAACCAAAAGGCTGGCGGTTCAAACCCACCAGCCACTCCTCAGAAGGAAGGTTGAGCAATCTACTTCCATAGTGATACCTCCTCGGAAACCCAAGGAGGGGTTGCTATGAGTCAGGTCCGACTCAACAGCACGTAACAATAACAACAACAACATGCTAAGTATTACAACAAACATCATAAAGAAGGAATCATCTCCATTTTACATAATATGCAACTAAAATTCAGAGAAGTTGAATAACTTACACACTAAGAAGAGGCAATTTGGGATTTAAATTCAACTGTGTATGTGACCACAGCCCATACTCTTTATCATAAGCCATGTTTAAATATTCAAACACAGAAACCAACAGACAATATTAATTACATGGATACAAAACATATAGGAAAATATTTTCCATGGCATTAAACCCAAAAGATGATATACAATTTAATCCATTTGTTAAATTTCACCAAAGTAGATCCTATGATAATTCAGAAATGAAAATTGATACATTTTAAATGAAAAATGGAAAAAATTTCCACTTGGCAGAATTCTATAACTAACTAGGTTAAAATGAGAACTTAGTCCTAAAAAAAATCATTTTCTGACTCTAGCAAACATTATTCCCACAGAAAAGGATATGTGGGAAGAACATGCTCAGCATTTCTCAAGCAGAAAGAACTGAAGAAAAAATTCAGGTCTTGAGTCGCAATGCTGAAGGATTCTGTGGGCAAAATATTGAACAATTCAAGAATAATCAAAAGAAGATGGACTGAATACAGAGAGTTGCTGTACCAAAAAAAATTCATCGAAGTTCAAGGAAAGCAGCATATGATCAAGAACTGATGGTACTTAAGGAAGAAGTGCAAGCTGCATTCAAGGCATTGGCAAAAAACACACATCAAGGAATTGATAGAATAACAATGAGATATTTCAATAAACCAATGCAACACTGGAAACACTCACTTGCCTATGCCAAGAAATTTAGAAGACAGCTGCCTGTCCAACCAACTGGAAGAGATCCTATTTGTACACATTCCAAAGAAAGGTGATCCAGTAGAATGAGGAAATTATCGAACAATATCATTAATATCACACCAAGTAAAACTGTGCTGAAGATAATTTAGAAAATGGTTGCAGCAGTACCTCAACAGGGAACTGCCAGAAATTTAAGCTGAATTCAAAAGAGGATATGGAATGAGGGATACCTTTGCTGATCTCAGATGGATCTTGGATGAAGATAGTGATTAACAGAAAAATGTTGACCTGTGTTTTATTGACAATGCAAAGACATTCAACAGTGTGGATTGTAAAAAATTAAGGACAGCATGGAGAAGAATGGGAATTCCAGAACATTTAATTGTGCTTGTACAGAACACGCACAGAGACCAAGAGGCAATCATCCAAATAGAACAAGTGGATAACTGCATGGTTTAAAATCAGGAAAGTTTATGTTAAGGTTGTATCCTTTCATCACACTTACTCAATCTATATGCTGATCAAATAATCTGAAAGAACACTTCATTAGGACTGGAGGAAGACTCACTAACAACCTGCCATATGCAGATAATACAACCTTGCTTACTGAAAGTGAAGAAGACTTGAAGCACTTATTGATGAAGATCAAAGACCACAGTCTTCAATATGGATTATACCTCTATATAAAGAAAAAAAAAAAAAAAAATCCTCAAACTGGACCAATAAGCAACATCATAAAAAAACAGTAAAGAATGAATTGTCAAGGATTTTACTTTACTTGGATCCATAATCAACACACATGGAAGTAGAAGTCAAGAAATCAAATGAGAGACTGCATCAGGCAAATATGGTGCAAAAGACCTCTTTAAAGTGTTAAAAAGCAAAGATGTCATTTTGAGGAGTACTCTCCACTCGACCCAAGCCATAGTATTTTCAAATGCCTCATATACATGCAAAAGCAGGACAATGAATAAGGAAGACCAAAGAACAGATGTCTTAAAATTACAGTGATGGCAAGAATATTGAATATACCATAGACTGCCAGAAAAACAAAAAAACCTGTCTTGCAAGAAGTATAGTCAAAATGCTCCTTAGAAAGGAGAATGGCTGGACTTCGTCTTTCGTACTTTAGGCATGTCATAAGGAGAGGCTCATCTCTGGAGAAGGACATCATGCTTGGTAAAGGAGACAGTCAGTGAAAAAGAGGAAGACCTTTAATGAAATGGACTGACACAGTGGCTGCAACGATGGGCTCAAATAGCACAATGATTATGAGGATGGTACAGAACTAGGCAGTGTTCTGTTTTGTTGGACACTGGGTCATTATAAGTCAGAACTGACACAACGGCACCTAATAATAACCATAACAAAGGATATATATCTCATAATGTAAACTCCTTTCAATTTCAAGCCATTGTCTTCATTGTAATTCCTATCTGCATTCAGATTTCAGTTATCCAATTTTTGAAAATTCTAATATTAAAAATCTTTAGAACTCAATTCTTCCTTTTACTTTATCTGAACTATTACAAGATTGCTCTATTTTTAACTCTCAATATGAGATGTTTATATATATATTTGTATTGTGAAAGTCTATGATTTTGTTATTCATTCATGCAACTAGCTAATATTTACCAAGAACCTACAATATGTCAATCCTTGTATTAAGTGTTAATTAGAATGATGTTTTAAGGAAAAGGAAAGAAGGAAACAAAAAGATTGGGGACGCTATGAGTCAGGTCTGACTCGATGGCACATAACAACAACAGTGTTGAATACAACTAAACTAATTAACAGACTGAGAACAGGATCAAATTTTTCAGAGGTGGGAACAAGATGGTATCCTGTTAATATAATCCACCCAATCCCTCTACAAGTGAGACCTGGAAAAACCAAGTGAATCAGATACAAATAATGATCCTGGAATTCTGAATATCAAACAAAGAGGATAAAGAATTAGATTGAGCACTGACTGGAAGGGAGATGGAGCAAGGTCAGTGACTGCGTAAAGAAAAAGTCCGGACAGGCAGAAGTGTCACCATTTTAAACATAGAGGCATTAAACACAGATGAGGTTAAAACATCATGGAATCCCCATGATGATAAAGACATAGTGTAGACAGATTGGGAGGAATTTAAGGTGAGCAGAAGATGTGCAGGAGTTGGGAAAGGAACATTGAGGGAAACAGGTCAGATTTACAGTGGTACAGGCAGCTGCACAGAGGGAGGGAGCCAGATTAAGGGGATAAAATAATTCATCTCCAAAGGAGCTCTGGTGGCATAATGGATAAGGCATTTGGCTGTGAACCAGAAGTGGTTCAAGCCCACCAGCAGCTCCATGAAGGAAGATGGGGTAATCTACTCCTATAAAGATTTACAGCCTTGGAAACCCAATGGGGGTCACTTGAGTTAGAACTGATTCATGGCAGTGAGTTTGTTTTTGGTTTAGTAGACACCATTGCTTGGGCTGAGGACCTACATGAGGGGAAAAACCTGTGTGAGGGTGGTTGGAGAAGCTAAATTGAGGGCAGCTTCTCACTTGATTGAATCTGGGCAATAGCTGGATAAACAGCTGTGTGTGCCCACAAGGGCACCAGACCCACACCAGTGAATCACAACTAGAGAATTATGACACACACTTTCCTGGCACTTAGGGGTAAATACTCTTTCCAGCCCACCAACCTGGTGGCTAGGTATCCCTGGCCACCTCCATCATAGCCCAGCCACCCCCAACAACTTGCCTCTAGCAGCCACAGCAAGGGGATGATGTTCAACTACTTGGTGCCTGAGTCACTGACAGATCTTTTTCACACTGAACACAAGAGACATACCTCTGAAGCCTCCTCCCTCAGAGGCACCCCTCATGTCAGGCACTTTCTACTTTTGCTATGTTTGGGTAATTGGAGAAGCTAGAAGCAATGAGTCAGAACTCTAAGGTGCAGCTGTCCAACAGAGGCATGGAACTGTTAAGGGTAAAAAGTCAAAGATCCTGGTCTGTTGGACTGTCAGTAGCTGACCTGGTTGACAGTATTGTGAACAATAAAAAGAAAGTGCATTCTGTATCAGTTTTAGTGAAGGGATATCATGATATAAATAGTGAAGTATTTTTAAGTTTGCCTTGAATCCTTGGAACCAATGGGGTGTCTGAAGTCATCAAAACCACAGTGAAAGAAGATATAGTGACTGAGAAACTCCAAAGCAGTGTCTTATCAATCCATGGTCTCCAACAACAGTTAAAACTTTGATCCTAAAGCATAGAGTTACCCCCAAAAGGAAAGGTCATCTGGTTTTGCCAACAAAAAAGAAATTGAGAACTTCTCTGTCTTATTAGTGATTCTTACAAACTGCTTGGTTAAGATAGATGACTTCTTAGTTAGCTTTGTAAGTTGAATCCTTAGAGTCAGACAGGAGATGAAAAAAAGAAAAAACTAATTTTCTTTGGAGTTCTTAAGATCTGTATACCATCTTTAAACCTATAGCAGCGATAAACACTTATGTGCAAAGTGCATTATTTTAAATTGTGTACCCTAAACTAGAAGCACATTGGGAGTACTTTGAAAGTGAAACATTTTTTAAAGAAAATTATTCTTTGGCTTTTATCTTAAAAACGTGAACAGTGAAAGGCCTGGTATGGATTTACAAAGTCCATAGGTGTACATTCAAAGATGTGAATGTTTTTTCCAGTAAAGCATTTTATTTTCTTCTTCTAAATTAATTAGGAGTTCTGGTAGTTGCTTGGCTGAGAGCTATAGTCTCTGCTTCAACAAGCACAGCTTCCACGCAAGTCCCACCTAGATGCCTAAGCTACTTCCTCTGCAGCCCAGTCACCCATGGCAACCTACTCCAAAAAGACCCAGAGTTTGGAGCTCTCCCTTCCTGTGCTTGTGCTTTCATCACTGGTTCATCTTTCTCAC